AGCCCTCAGTGTGGTCTGGAGTGGTTCGTTGAAGACTTCAGAAGGGCTGAGCTTGAGCTGAACTTGGGAGCTTGGGTTTAAAGAGAAGTGGGAAGGTCATTTCACAGGGAAAACCATAAAGTTGGGAAAAAACATGTAGAAAAGAGAACAGCCTGTACCCTTGCTACACAAGTGTGACCCAGAGCAGTAGCCTTGAGCTCACGACAGCTTGCTAGAGATGAGTGGGGCCAGGTCTCCCCCGGGCTGTAGGATCAGACCCTGCTCAGTGACGTTTGGGAAGCGCCGATAGATACCATTTGCATGGGGCTTTACAGTTTAGGGTTGGCTAAAGAAGCATCCTATTTGACCCTCAGAATAGGTTAATTAGATACAAATGAATTAGATAAAGAGGTGGACTACTAGTGTCCAGTCTCGCTGAAAGAAAACGTGAAGTTTGGAGAGGTTTTGATTTGCTGAGAGTTTAACTTAGAGCTGAGGTTCTAACTCAGACGTAGAGATTTCATATGCTTTTTCACACCATGTGCTGAGAAGTCACGTTTGGGGATTTAAGTAGGCTAGTACAGAAAGCTTGAATGTGGATTAGGTAGCAGTTGGGCCATACAGTGGAGATCTGGAATGCTAGGACATTTATTACTTATCCACTAATATGTTTTGGCCAGAATAGCTTCATGAGGAGCGTCTCAGGGGAGACCTATCTGGCGGCATTATGCGGATGAATTAGAGTTGGGAAGAAACAGGACTCGAGACACCAGTTATTCAGGGTACAATAACTAAATATTTTAAATAAATAAAATAAGTGGTATCCGTAAGTCAACCAACAAATAGTTATTGAATCCCTAATTTGTGCTGGGCGCTGGGCATTTGGTCCTGTCGTCCATGGTGTGCTTGCTTATGTCATGCTACTGGTTGAGTCAATTACATAACTGAGTCCTAAATGCAGAAAAGACTAACAGTAATGACAACAATAAAGTCATCTTTGAATTTTCCTGGTTTGTTTTTTCCTCTGAGGAGCTCTGGCCTCAAAGTCAGGTGACTCCCATTCTCATCCTGGTTTCGCTATTAGTGTCATACGTGACCTTGAACGATTCACTTAATTGCTCTGTTGCCCATTTTTCCTACTTAAAACATCAGCGTCATACTTACCATGACTTCACAGCACAAGATATTGTGATGAGATCATTAATGGTGGACGTTTTTGGTTTCCGGAGTATTATAAAAGCTTATAATGCTGTTGATAAAAAATCATTTTTAAAACCTTCACTTTTTGCAGCTTCAAAAATTTCAGTCCCCTGGTGCATGTTGGTCACTTTTCTAATTATAATGACATTGCAAGGGGGGAAAAGGTGCAGCCATCTGGGGCACTCGTTCTTCCCTAGAGGTAGCGTTGGAGAAGATAATGGTCTATTTGCGATGTGGTGGGCCCCATTCCGAAGGCACGTGGATGGTGGTTTCTGAATGTGGCTTTAAGGCCCATCTGCTGATGGGTGCCATCATTAGACAAGAAGATGTGGGTGAATGTGTGCGCGGTTGTTGTGGAGTAATAGACACAATCGAGAGAATATTTGGACTCTGGGGGAGAGAAGTAGGTGGCACCGTCCTAGAGTTCTGAGCTGCATACGGCTGACCCTTCTGGTGTCATAAAGCCATGGTGCTGGGTGTGCAGTTGAGGTCCCTGGGTATACGTGTGTGTGTTCAGGGGCAGGGTGGGCACTGGAAACATTGTGAGGGGTGGGAGGAGGACAGAGAAGATGAGAAGTTTAAAGTGCTTATTGAGGTGGCAGGTTGCTAGGGATAATACTGATGAACTGTATCAGCCCCAGCTCTTTGTATCTGAACTGCTTTCTTTTTTTAATGTTTAAATTTAAAGGTTTAATTCCACTATAGTTCACATACAGTGTAATACTAGTTTCAGGTGTACAATAGAGTGATTCAGCACTTCCGTACATCACCCGATGCTCATCACAAGTGCCCTCCTTAATCCCCATCACCTGTTTCACCCATCCCCCGCCTCGTAACCGCCAGTGTGTTCTCTGCAGTTAGAGTCTGTTTCTTGGTTTGTCTCCCTCTCTTTTTTTTTTCTTTACTCGTTTGTTTTCTTTCTTAAATTCCACATGTGAGCGACATATGGTATTTGTCTTTCTGATTTATTTTGCTTAGCATTATACTCTCTAGCTCCAGCCATGTTACTGCAAATGGCCAGATTTCATTCTTTTTTATGGCTGAGTAATACTCCAGTGTGTGTGTGTGTGTGTGTGTACGTGTACGTGTACACATACCACATCTTCTTTATCCATTCATCTGTCAGTGGACACTTGGGCTGCTTCCACAGTTTGGCCAATGTAGATAATGCTGCTATAAATATTGGGGTGCATGTAGTTTCTGAACTACTTTCTACACATCGTAGCTATTTTTTTTTTAAGATTTTATTTATTTATTTGACAGAGAGACACAGTGAGAGAGGGAACACAAGCAGGGGGAGTGGGAGAGGGAGAAGCAGGCTTCTCGCTGAGCAGGGAGCCCTATGTGGGACTCGATCCCAGGATGCTTGGGATCATGACCTGAGCCGAAGGCAGACGCTTAACGACTGAGCCACCCAGGCGCCCTGCACATCGTAGCTATTGCTGAGAATGGTGGTTTCCATGAGAAAACACACCTCGGATTAGAGAACCCTTTGAGCATTTCCTCTCTTACCTAGAATAAGAAATATGATGTGTGAACGTATTTCCGGCAAGCCCTTAGAACAGTTCCTGGCACCTAATTAGCATTAGAGAAGTGTCTGCTGTTACTAGCGTTCCATCCTGGTCATTTATTCATTTCATTCACTTGAGTGTGTGCTATCACGTATCAAGGCCCTGAGGTGTTTGCTGTGGAAGCCCAGGGCTGGATCACACAAAGATCCTGTCCTCAGAGATGGAATGGTCCAGTAGGAAAAATAAGATGAGCAAACACATAAATATAATGGAGTGAAGAAAGGAATACATCTATAACAAAGGTCTAGGTTGGAGCTTTTGGGGGGGTAGGCAGAAGCTGGAGAGGACTTCCAGCGGGTTGGAGAGGAAAGCGAGGTGGGCGGAGGTGGTACCTGAGTTGCATCTGGGAGGATGGGAAACGGCTGAACCTCGTGAAGTACTTTCCAGGTGAAGGGAATGGTAGGACCGAAAGCAGAAAATAGCGTATTTAGAGAGAAAATATAGTTTGCCCGATTGAAGGCTGTGTTTTGAACATGTGTTCTGCCTCATCTCCAGAGTTCCCTTGCCCCATATTTTTTCATTTCTTTACCCACCAATTAAGTCCAGCAGATTGTAATAAGGAGGGGCAGTTACTAAAACGACGCAAGCGGGTTTGGTAATTATAACGGCTGCTAAATGTGTAATCTATCTGTTCTTGTAATTATTAAGGTTTTTATTTTTATAAACTGATTGTCTCTTGTTCTAAAACGTCCTTAGTAGTATGCAAATAGGGGCCAGGAAGCAATAGAAATCTAGAAACATGATTTCCTTTGCATTCCACAATAAATCACCCACACAGACTGACCGGTGGTGGCTTGGTACATCTCGAGAGGCCCACTGTCACCTGCCTCAAAATAGACTGGGGCTGCCTTCTGTCCTCGCAGCCTTTCCCAGAGTGCAGAAATCACTCCTTGGGTTTTACATTAGCTTTCTGCTATGACACACACAATGTCATGACTTCTTTTCTCTTTCCTTGACAGTAATTCCATCATCTGCTTGTGATAGATCACTCCGCCTTTGGCGGTTTAGCTTCTCCACTTAACAGCTGAATATGCCCCTACAGAGTGGTGTGGAAGAAGCTCCAGGGTTCCCTGGTGGATGGAGCTGAAGCTGTCGGCAAGTCTCCACCTGTCTGGGCCTCAGTCAGCGCATCCATCCAGTGGGGGTGTTACTGTAGGCTGTGGAGAAATCACAGCCTTGTATTGCGTGAACACTTGTTCTGCTTAAAGGTATTTCGAGATACCAGGTTCTAAGTTAATAGGGGTAATTTCTTAAAATAAGATTGTCTCACTTGGGGAGATCTCACTGGAACAGACAAATTCTGTTTTCTTAATTTATTTGAAGCTTGTATAATCATCCAACAACGAGAACTAATATAAATGGAAATTCATAGCATAAAAAGGCTGCATAGGGCTCAACAGCTTATAAACCCAATTGTGAATAGCTATAAGGCCCAGAACAATCAGAGACAAATGGCTTATGTGCTCAATAAATATTTCTAGAATGATTTTTTTTTTCCTTGGGAGAACAACTATGTTTAGATGAAACAATGATTTAAGTAGGGCTAAGGGGTATAAAGTGAGCATCTCTTACTGGGATTTTGAATTTCTTTACATCTTATAAGTTGTGTACTATGTCTTAAAATAGTACCTATTCAAGTACATACTGTGATTACCTGTTTGAATAAAGTATTTTTGCTGGTGCTCATTCTCTATATCATATACATTGTACATAATCTATATGATTATATGCTTTACGTGTATATACTCTGTATATTCCCTCACTATGTATATAAATATATTCTCTCTCTTTATATGCCGTTTTCTGAGACATTTGACTAATGCCACAGAGGGTTTAGTTTAGATTGTGAATCCAAGGCCGAGATACCCTGGGGCCCTGATGCCTGCTTGTCTGAACAGAGGGTGTAGTGTGGAGGGAAAACAGCTGGAACGTCAGTCTTCCCAGCCAGAGCCGGTAGTGTCCCCCCCTCGCTTTCGCCAGCGTTGAACCATTGGTGTGCAGTTTCCCGAGCATCAGCCGTATCGCAAATGTGGAAGGAGATATCCCTGGAAAAAGCCCTAGGGGTGCTTTACAAGGGGGATCGCTGACGACTCTGTCGGTGGTAGATCGGGAGGAAGCTTCCTTTTCACGTTCCTCTCCTTTGCTTTGATGTGCCTCGTTTTCCGAAAAGCAGGACACCGATCTTGTGAGGCTTGTAAGCCTGCCGATTGCGATTCCAACACAGACGGGTTTGTGTGTTTGCTCCTTCAGCTCTACGTGGCCACGGAGGCCATCCTCATCGCCCTGGTGGGGGCCACGCCCGCGTACCGCTGGGACCTGGCGGGGCTCCTGCCCAATCAGAGCCTCGGCAACCGGTCAGCAGGTGACGAGCGCGCGCTCGGGGACTGGCTGCGGACAGCCAACGGCAGCGAGGTCCGCAAGCACGTGCACTTCAGCGGCAGCTTCACCTCCATCGCGTCTGAGGTAAGGCCCGCCGCGGGGCGGGGGCGGAGGCGGCCGGTTCTGACCGCTGGATGAGCGTTTCTCCCGGTGCACGTGGACCCGCTTGCCTGTCTGGTTGATTGCACTGTCAGCCCCATCTGCAGAGAGCTGCCTAGTCGATTTGAGAGTTAAAGGGGACTATCCTAGGAAAACACATTCTTTTTCCTTCTTGCTACAAACGGGAAGAGCGTGAGCCTTCCCAAACTGGTTAGTCGAAGTAAGATATGAACTCCGGAAGAGCCGCATTTCACTTAGAGTGTCCTTTGAAAAAGTGAATGAAAACTTTCATTTTTTTTTTCTTTATATACTGCTGAATTCTATTTGCTAATGTTTTGTTAAGGATTTTTGCTTCTGTATACATGAGGGGTATTGATCTGTCGTGTTCTTTTTTTTTTTTTTTTTTTGGTCTGGCTTTGGTATCAGGGTGATACTAGCTTCATAAACTGAACTGGGAAGTATTCCATCCTTTTCTATTTTCTGCACGTGATTGGGTAAAATTGGTGTTCTTTAAATATTTGGTAGAACTCTCCAGTAAAATCATCTGGGCTTTTTTGTTTTTTGTTTTAGATTTCTTTTTGGGGAGTTTTAAATTTTTGAAGTCAATTTTCTTAAAGGTTATAGGGATATTTAAATGATTGTGAGTTGTGACTTAAGTGATTTTGAATGGTGAGTTGTGGCAGTTTGTGCTTTTCAAGGAATCAGTCCATTTCATCTAAGATTTATGTGTGTAGAGTCGCTCACTGTATTACCTTATTATCCCTTTTGATGTCTGCAGAGTCTGAAATGAAATCCCCTCTCTTATGTCCTGATATGGGTAATTTGTGTTTTCTATCTGATTTAATTACTTGTCAGTCATACAGGTTTGTCAATTTTACTGATCTTTTTAAAGAACCAGCATTTTGTTCATTGATTTTTTTCCCTATTATTTTTCTATTTTAAATTGTATTAATTTCTGCTCTTACCTTTATGATTTCCTTTCTTCTGCTTGCTTTGGGTTTCTTTTTCTTTTTTTCTTTTTTAGGTTATAGACTTGATAGCCTGTATTTTTAATGAGTCTTCCTCTTTACAAATGTATTTTAGTGCTATAAATTTTCCTCTCAGGACTGCTTTAGCTGTGACCCACAAATTTTGATCTGCTGTATTTTTATTTTCATTTAGCTCAGTGTATTTTTTTTCTCCTTACGAATTCCTCTTTGACCCAGTGATTACTTAGAAGCCTCCTGTTTAATTATCTAGTATTTAGAGATTTTCCTGTTAGCTTTCTGTTTTTGCTTTCTAGTTTGATTTCGTTATGGTCAGAGGACACTCTGTATGATTTCAGTTCTTTTAGATTTGTTGAGGTTTCTTTTATGACTCAGGATGTGGTCTCTCTCCGTGTATGTTCCATTGACACTTGAACCAACTACTGCTGTTGGGTGGAGTGTTTAATAAATATTGTTTAGATCCTGTTGGTTGATGGTATTGTTGACTTCTTCTGTATCCTTGCTGATTTTCTCCCTAGTTATTCTAGGGATTGTTGAGATAGGAGTGTTTATGTCTTCAATTCCAAGTTTATAGATTCTTTCATCTGTCCGTTTCATTGTGCCATTGAACCTACTCATTGTATTTTTTTTTAGTTCTAAATTTTTCATTTAGTTCTTCATATATTTTATAGCTCTGTTGTTTAGTCTATACATATTGGTGATTGCTATGTCTTCTTGGTGGATTTGCTTTTTTTAAAATCATCTTATAGGGGCACCTGGGTGGCTCAGTTGGTTGGGCAGCTGCCTTCAGCTCAGGTCATGATCCCAGGGTCCTGGGATCGAGCACTGCATCGGGCTCCCTGCTTTGTGGGAGGCCTGGTTCTCCCTCTCGCACTCCTCCTGCTTGTGTTCTTTCTCTAGCTGTCTGTCTCTCTCTGTCAGTTAAATAAATAAATAAAATTTTAAAAAATAAAATAAAATCATCTTATAATATACCTCTATGTCCCTGGTAATTTTCTATGTTCTGAAATGTGGTTTGACACTAATCTAGCCACTCCTGCTTTCTTCAGTTAATGGTAGCATGATATATATTTTTGCCCTTTTTACTTTCAACTTGCCTGTATCATTATGTGTGAAGTTAGTTTCCTATAGACAGCATAGAATTGGGTCAAATTTTTTTTTTTAAAGATTTTATTTATTTGAGAGAGAGAGAGAGAGCACAAAGGGAGACTGAGAGGGAGAAGCAGACTCCCCGCTGAGCAGAGAGCCCAACGTGGGACTCGATCCCGGGATCCTGAGATCATGACCTGAGCCAAAGGCAGAAGCTCAACCGACTGAGCCACCCAGGTGCCTGAATTGGGTTAAACTTTTTTAAATCCACACCATCAATGTCTGTCTGTATTTTTGTTTTTAGATAATTTACATTTAATATAATTATTTATATGCTAGAACTTACCTCTTCCAGTTTATTATTTTTTGTTGTTTTCTATTCTCTGTTTTTTTTCTCTTTAATTTTTCCTGTTTTTCTCTAGGTTACTTGAACATTTTATAGTATTTTATTCTGACTTATAGTATTTTTTGAGTGTATCTCTTTGTATAGCTTTTTTAGTGATTGCTCTTGGCATTGCATTATATATACATAACTTACCACAGTCTACTGGTGTTGTCAGATCTCCAGTTTGAGTGACATACAGAAATTCTACCTCACTTTACATTCCTTTGCCCTCTTCTGTTTATAATATAATTGTCCTAAATATGGTCCCACATACTCTTGGAATCACATTACACAGTGTTCTGTTTGCTTCAACCATCAAACATCATTTAGAAAACTCAAGAGAAGCAAAGTTTGTTGTATTTACCCCAGCTTTTTCTTACAGTGTTCTTTTTCCCTTCCTGATGTTGCAAGATCCCTTTTTTATGTTTTCTTTCTTTTTTAGAGAACTTCTGTTAGCCACTGTTTTAGGGTAGTTGTGATGGTGACAAATTTTCTTGGTTTTCCTTCATCTGAGAATATCTTGACTTCTCCTTCCTTTCTTGTTTTCACTGGTAATAAAATTCTTGGTTGACAGTTCATTTCCTTCAGCATTTAAAAACTCCTGTGCCACTTTCTTCTGGCCTCCATGGTTTCTGATGAGAAATATGCTGTTATTTGAATTGTCTTTTTCCTATAGGGAAGGTGTCATTTCCTTCTTGCTACTTCCAAGATTTTTTAGTGTTTTAGTTGCTACTGTTTAGAAGTTGGACTATGATGTTTCTTGGTGTGGATTTCTTCAAGTTTATCTTCTTTGGGATTTACTGAGCTGCTTGGATCTGTAGGTTTATGGCTCTTGACAAATTGAGAAATTTTCAGCTATTATTTATTCAAGTACTCTTTTTTTAGCCTATGCCCCTTTCTCCTTTCTTTCCAGAACTCCAAGACAGAAATATTAGTTCTTTTGTTATAGCCCCATAGATCTCTGAAGCTTTGTTCATTTTCTTCTGTCTAATTTATCTTTGTCTTCATATTGGATATTTTCTGTTGTTTTATTTCCAAGTTTATTGATTCTTTCATCTGTCCCTTTCATTCTGCTGTTGAACCTATTCATTGTATTTTTTTTTTTTTTGGTTCTAAATTTTTCATTTTGTTCTTTTTAAAATACATTCTCTTTATTTGGTGAGACTTTCTGTATTTTCACCGAGTCTATTTTGTCATCAGTTTTGAGCATGTTTGCAGGTGCTCACTGAAGCACGGTTGTTATGGCAGCTTTAACATCTTTCTCAGATAGTTCTAACATCTCTATCATCTCAGCAGTGTCTTTTTTTCATTCTACTTTGAGATTTTCCGGTTGTTAGCATCACGAATTATTTTTGTTTGAAACCTGAAGTTTCGGGGATTATGTTAAGAGGTTCTGGGTCTTAGTTAAATCTTCTGTATTAGCTGACTTTCTTGGACTCAGCTCTGACACAGAAAGAGGGGAGGGGTGCCTCATTATTACCTCGTGGTGGTGGAAAGCCAGTCTCCCCATGTGCTCGCACTGACTCCGGTGGTGGTGGTGGTGGTGGTGGTGGTGGTGGTGGTATGGAGGGTTCCTCAGTGCAGGCGCCCTTGCTTGTCTTTTTCTGACATATCCAAATGGAGTGAAGTGGGATGACTTCTGACTGCCCAGCCAGGGAGGGGGAGATATTTAGGTTCCCCACTTAGCCTTTGTTCCTGTGAATGGGGTTAGAACCATAGCTTTTGTTTTTGTTTTTGTTTTGTGGTGGTGAATGGCTGGAATAAAGCAGTTTTTGTCTAAAAATGTCCTGTCCTGCTGGGCTGCCCCCTTCCTGGGCCTCTGGCTGGAGAGAGCAGGCTTGGTTGGGGCTTCTTTTGTCATTCCTCTTGGCATCTCTGAGTTGCTCCCTGCTCCAGCACCCACTCTCGGGTATGTGAGGCAAAGAGAAACCCAGGGACTCACCACCAGGTCATTCCTTGGGTCCCAGGGTCCTCGCTGGTCTTCTCTCCACCTTTCAGAGTTGTCTTATGTTTGTTTCATACGTGATGCCCAGGGTTTTTAGTGGCACATAGTTGGAAAGACAGGGAAAAGTACATTTATTCCATTTTCCTGGAGCTGAAAGTCCTCCTGTGTCCTTTTGATGTTCCCATCTCTCTGGGTTTTTTTTTTTTGAGCACTTAAAAAAGTTTTGGCATAACAAGATATTCCAGATTCATCTTTCACCTCCCTCTATCCCAACTGTGAAATTAGCCATTTCTCCAAAAGGCCTTTGTTTGGTTTATTGCCCCCATAGGATTTTGCAGTGGGTGAGAACCGTAAGTCTGCACTCCAACAAATCCATTACCACATTACAATGAAAGTGGATCTCAGACCAAATTCTGCCACATGTCAAAACATTTATTAACTCGGGGCGCCTGGGTGGCTCAGACGGTTAAGCGTCTGCCTTCGGCTCGGGTCATGATCTCAGGGTCCTGGGATCGAGCCCCGCATCGGGCTCCCTGCTCAGCGGAGAGCCTGCTTCTCCCTCTGCCTCTGCCTGCTGCTT